GTTTTGTACAAAGTATTGTACGTTTTGTACAAAGTATTACTGAAATTTATTAAATTTCAGTAAGTGTGTTCAATACTTTTTCCCTGTGCCATTCCACATTATTACAAATAACTTCATTTCTGGACATTTATGGTTTGATTTCTTTGTATGTATGGATCACTTGGGTTGTTACTAACATCTGGTGAAAATTTCATGTCAGCAGCACCTCTAGTAATATACTTACTGAGAAAAATGGTGACGTGTTCAATACTTTTTTTACCCRCTGTATCTAAAAACCCTGGTTTGTTTGAAGTGTTAAAGACTGAAGTAAAATGAGGAACAGTAGGGTGATTTTTGGAGTGAAGCTGTATGGTTTTGATTGAGTATGACTCACAAACATATTTGTGAACAGATGGCTACTCACAGTGTTAAACCGTGTATCTTTAGGTTTGGCAGGACTTCATGTTTGCCTGTGCCATGTATCCCACAGAGGACGACTTTATTCAGACAGTGAGGGAGGAGGTCATCCAGCAGGTGAGTGGGGGGTCACTGTTTACTCTTGGTTTTGGAATATGCTTAATAAAACTCAAGGCCGTGAATGTTCAGTTCAGCTTAGTTTATTACACTTTAAGATTTTCAAAATGACGACAAAAACAGTGGGAACTATACCATCAAAACCACTAACCTCCAGTGTGGTTTTTTTTTTATTATTTCTTTTTTCTCTTTTTTGCCCTTCAGGTCCAGCGCCTGAAGTCTCATCCCTCCATTATAATTTGGAGCGGGAACAATGAAAATGAAGCTGCTCTGGCGACCAACTGGTTCAACATCCCAGCGTCCCAGAAGCCTACATATATAAAAGACTACGTGGAGCTGTATGTGAACAACATTAAGAAGATTGTCCAAGAGGTTTGATTTAGATTTTATTTACAGTAAGTTTTCTGTAAACTCCAGTTGAAATCTGAGTATAAAACACGGATCTGCCTCAGGAGGACCAGAGTCGTCCGTTTCTTGTCTCCAGTCCAACTAAYGGAGCAGAATCTGAGCAGGAGGGATGGGTGGCAGCGAATCCCTATGACTGTCACTTCGGAGACGTCCATTTCTACAGCTACACCCTCGACTGCTGGGACTGGAGGACTTTTCCTCGGACCCGCTTCGCCTCTGAATATGGCTTCCAGTCCTGGCCATCTTTCTCCACTCTGCAGCTGGTAAATAGATGTTACAGGTTCATTTCATTCAAATCCTTACAAATAAAATGTTGCGTTTAGTGCTGTACAATGTGAGTCAAAAGTCTCAGGACACGCTTTTATTCTAGAAACAAAAAGGGAAAATTAAATATGTAAACACCTCAGCAAGAAAATGGGTGAGGGGGTCTATCTTTTAGGTTATGTCCAGAACATGGCTGCCATTTTGAAAGCCGCCATATTGAATTAAAGTCCAATTTTTCCAGTGAGAAGGGACTCATTTAGCATACCAAAGAAGACCAGAGTTGTCAGAAATGGATTGCTTCAATCATGTGCAAAGTCTCTTGCAGTTCAGAAGTTATAAACACAGAAAGTTGCAACAAATACGTACGTTGCCTGTGATGCACTGCTATTTTATATTTGACACACTCAATATGCTGTCCCTGGTGCTGAACACACAGCTGAAGGTGCAACAGTGCTGTGGGACATTGGTGGTCTCTCTGAGTTTCTGTTGTTGAAGCTCATCAGTCACTTCAGTCCTCTCTTCTTTCGTCTGTTCCATCTTCATGTACCTGTGGTGAACAATAAAACTTTTTGTGTTGATAACTTTTAAACCACAAGAGGATTTGCACTTCTTATTCTATTCCTGAGACAATTCCAGTCTTTGAWATGCCAGTTCTCGTTGGAAAATCTGGACTTTGATTAAATCTGGCAGTTTTCAAGATGGTGGCCATGTTCTGGACATAACCTAAAAGTTAGTCCCCCTCAACCATTACTTGCTGAGGTATTCAGATATTTGTTTTTTCCTTCTGTTTCTGAAATAAAAGGGTGACCTGAGACTTTTGACTCACCCTGTAGCTCAACAAAGCATGAGTCTCAAAAAGAAATGATTAATATGGTGGCTTTGTGGCTATAAAAATAACTTAATGCTATTAAAATAAATGTAAAAGGGTTTTCTTTAAAATGTAATTTAGGACTTAGATGACGTCTTCACACAACAGAGCTGAATAAAAGCCTTATTATTTTAGTGTCTTATTGTTTTTTGCTACCTTGAAGGTTTCTGTTCCAGAAGACTGGAGCTACGACAGTAACTTCACCTCCCATCGTCAACATCACGAGAGTGGAAACCAGCAGATGCTGCAGCAGGCTGCTCTGCACTTCAACTTACCCAACTCCACAGATCCCCTGAAGAGATTTACAGATACTCTCTACATCACTCAGGTAAACCACCCAAACCACACTCCCATCATATGGTACGTACCACCGTGGTCCTACAGAGAGCAGCAATGTAAATCTCTGGTCAAGTTCTTGTTTCCATTCATCGGTCAAGCTTGGACAAATACACAAACGCCACTAAACATGGCCTTTAAAAAAATAAAAGTCTAACTTATTGATTCTCCATATAACAATTGTTTTAAAGTAGATCATCTTGTGTTGACTAAGGACAGAGTTATAGTTGGTAAAATCTTAAAGGGATACATGATTAGTTGTAACATTAGATTTTATTTAATAAACATATATTTTAACTGTAAAATAAAGACTGTAAAAATACTGTAGGATGTTTAGTTTTTATCATTTTTAAACTAAAAGTTTAAAAATATATCACACAGATGGAGCCATTTTATTTACACGCAAAGCATTTTGGGTAAATGATGACGTGGATAGGTCATTGGTGCGAGACTGTTAGCGAGCTATATCCACCCTGAAGGTTAATCTTGGACAATATCTGATGATCGACTCTTTTAAATGAAACCAGAGAGCGTTGACAGAGAGGAGAAGGTAGAAATGACTCAGCCTGTAACTGAAAATATGGATGGAGGACAACAGAGCTGCTTCATGGAAGAAGAACCTCAGCTTAGCCTGTTAGCCTTCACGCTAGCGCCGACGTTATCACATATTAGCTCGGTGCTACACATTCTCCTCTTGTCACTGAGGTCCTCCATCCACATAACAGAGAGGGGAACACAAAAATGACTCAGCTGCAACTGAAAATATGGATGGAGGACCTCAGTTTAGCTTGTTAGTTTGTCGCGCTAGCACCAAACTAATATATACAGTATAAGACAATATAGCGTCGGGGCTAGCGCAAAGGCTAACAAGCTAAATTGAGGTCCTCCATCTATATTTTCAGTTACAGTCTGAGTCATTTCTACCTTCTCCTCTCCGTCAACGCTCTCTGGTTTCATTTAAAAGAGTCGATCGTCAGATATTGTCCAAGATTAACCTTCAGGGTGGATATAGCTTACTCACACCCTCGCACCGAGGACCTATCCACGTCATCATTTACCCAGAATCCTTTGTGTGTAAATAAAATGGCTCCGTCCGTGTTAAAATATGTTTTTAAAAATTTACAAAACTAAACAGCCTACAGTATTTTTACAGTCTTTATTTTACAGTTAAAATAAATGTTTATCAAATAAAGTCTAATGTTATAACTAATCGTGGATCCCTTTAAAAGTAATGTTATGATAAATCTACCACGCTGGGTGTGAGTTGGGGATGACTCTGCTACTATCACACCAAGTTTCATCTCAATATCTGTAAAATTAAGTTATTTCTTTGTGTTTGCTAAGTGCACCTCTTAATCATTTTTAAATGTATCCTAATGAATGATTCCTGGTAATTCCATTAAAACCTGACCACTGGTTTATGAGATATTTTGCTGACAGATCGACAACTTGGCCAAATTATTTTTCCTCAGAAACGGAAGCAAACAAAGCATCTGAACATAAATAATAAATAATGAAACATAAATAATTTAAAACATAAAGCTGAAACATCAGGAACATGTAGACCAACAGCTGGCGGTATCATTTATCCCGTGGAGTCACAGAGTTCACAGCGTTTGACCGTGGCAACATTTCAGTTTGCTGGTGAATACAGCTGATTATCATGATTGTTCAGGTCATGCAGGCCCAGTGCGTGAAGGCTCAAACTGAGTTTTATCGACGGAGTCGGAGTGAAATCATTGAGGGGAAAGGTCACACTCTGGGCACTCTCTACTGGCAGCTCAATGACATTTGGCAGGGCCCCTCCTGGTCATCAGTCGGTGGGTAAACTCACTCTAAACACATTTTTAGGCTGATCTCTGGTCGGTTTGTCTCTTATTATTTCACAAGTCTGTGTAGTTTGTGTGTGATTGTTATAAATGTGTTTTAAATTAGATATGAGCGTTGTAAAATAATCCCTCAGGTCTTGTTATCTCTCTCTGGACAGAGTTTGGCGGAAAGTGGAAAATGTTGCATTATTTTGCACAGAACTTCTTCGCTTCAGTCCTTCCTGTTGGTTTTGAAGATGACGACACGTTGTTCATCTACGCTGTCTCTGACCTGAGTCATGACCTCAAGCTTAGAGCTGTGGTAAGTTTTTACAATGTAAACAATCAGAATAAAAAGGTTCAGCATTGCTTGGATTGCATATCACCTGCCAACTTTCAGTTGTAGACTTCTCCTATGTGGAAACATCCTGTTGGAAAAATATGCATTGTTCAAAATGGTATGTCTGTTAAAAGTTTATTTTTGATCTTCTGACTCCAATAAGGTTCATTCAGTGCTCAGCAGCACAGGCCTCAGCGTACAACCTTGGGCTGAATCAAAACAAACACGGGAGCTCTGCTCTGAGCAGACACTCTGCAAAACACTGACAACTTCTCTCTACTATAATAATGAATTCAGCTTATAATGTTCATCCCTCCCTGGTTACACCCCAGAGGTGTTACCTTTTACGTCAGAACATCACAGTTTTGTTTAAGCTAAAAGAAAGAACACATGGTAACACACACAAACACACACACACCAACTCTTATTCTGTTATGGCCTTAAACCTGAAATGATCAGAAAGTATAAAATGCAAAACTGAATCTAATATTAAATTAATCAGTTACAAAATTTCTTCAATCCAACAATCATTTCACAATGTTTTGCTGACAGTACAGACAAACACACAGAGACATGGGCACAAACATTACCGCAACACACTTTGCAACAAATAAATCATCATCTCATAAGCTCTCCTTGTATCTCCGATCTGTTTTTTTGTTTTTCTAAATACATATTAGTACAGTATTAAAGGGATCCATGATTAGTTGTAACATTAGACTTTGTTTAATAAACATATATTTTAACTGTAAAATAAATACTGTAGGATGTTTAGTTTTTATCATTTTTAAACTAAAAGTTTAAAAATGTATAATAACAAGGACAGGGTCATTTTATTTACACACAAAGCATTCTGGGTAAATGACGACGTGGATAAGTCATCGGTGCGAGGCTGCTAGCGAGCTATATCTACC